TATAGGATTCCAAATTCGTCTTAATTCAGATTATGGTTAAGGCAGATATCTTTTACCTACTACAGATGCAAGTTCTATGTTTAGAATACATACGTATCATTAATTTATTTGTGAACAATTTACTTTTATTTACTCAGCATTTTTATTAAGGTTGAAACTTTACATAATTAGACATTTACAATTTTTCTTTAAGTAAGTACCTTAGTTGAGACCATAAAGCTCAGCTTCGAAATCCACAATCATCTGGAATAATCTGTGTAAATTATTAACCATAATCTGTTCTTAAACGAATTACGTTAGTTTAAACTATATATATATCTTGACTGACTACATAATGTGCGGTCAATTATTATATTATCATTTTACAAGCTGCACGATTACTTAACTCTTATTTCCCATAAGTTACATATATTTGATATCGTAAAATAAAACAATCTCCAACATAAAAGTTTAAAACAATATGCTTACAATACAAACAACTTTAAAGTGAATAATCACTAACAATTCTATCAATATAAAATCTAACACAATTATGATACCTTAACTTCAGGGGCCTATTTCATAAGAGTGTTAAATACTTAATGTTTTTACTACAGTAAATTACGGAACTATTGTAGTAGAATTATTACGATAATAACATTATTTGAAGCAGGTTTCTTTGAATTTCTGCAGTAAAGGAAAACCACGGTATTACTTTTATGAAATAGGCATCGATATTTAATACCCTAGATACACCACGTGCGCTCAAAATGTGTCCCAATCAAAAAGTGCTTGTACACCACTTAAGCACTTCTGCATCCACAGTCACGCGCGGACCGTTAAAAAGTCAAGATGCCGCAGAGCTCCATGAATAAATGAGAAAAAATACTTATAGACCGTAGTGTGATCTTTTTTCGACCGGAATCTTATCAATGTTTGTTAATTAAACGCATTTTAAGCAAATTTTGTTGTATTACTTACTATAAACTGATTAAATAGAACTGAGAAAATATTGTGGTATTCAAATGCATGGTCGGTTATATAGCCGTTTCTTTTCCTCGCAGTCCATACCTGCTAATTGCTTACAGTGCATTCAGAATTGCGCGTCAAAGAAATAAAGTCTATATTCTTCTTTTTTACGAGCTTGCATTTCGAACTGTCATATAACCCTTTGACTCATGCGTTTAAATTAAGACCTTAAACAGGATTATTTAAAGGACTTTAAATGTTTAAATAATGCCTTATATTGATTTTGATCACGCGATGGATCGTCCAATGTACCTTTTGGACAGGTTTCGGCCACGATTTTGTTCGTGTTGTTGTATCTAGGGTATTAAATATCGTTGGAAATAGAGTCCAGTTGTTAATAAGACCTTCGAACTGGTTTGTGGTAATCGAACCTGCGACTAAGTGCGCACAGCGCGTAAGGAAACCAGTTGTATAAAAGATATTTGAAAATAATCGTCATATACTATTTATTTTCCCTTGTTTCAAACAAGGGTAATACTCTTAGGCACCCTAAGAATTAAAATCAGTCATAAATAAAAAACAGCATTTATCATTTTAATTACAATTGCAATAGGTAGGGGGCGCATAATGGTCGCAGTTTGCTATCTCCCTAACACCACCTTGTGGGGGTGTTTATGGCGTAAAGGTCACGCCCATAGACAAAGTATCCTATATCTATGGTCACGCCTTAGTTTGTGTTCTCTCAAACTTTTTAATTTTTCCCCCTTTCAATAACATTTTGAAGTTTAATAGCATATTTATTTTCAGCTATTTTTCTGTTTTAAAGCAACGTAATCTCCTTATAATAAATTATTAATCGAACGAATTGACTAAAATAAGGGATTTCACAGACCTAAACGCAGATCAATTGCTTTGTTTCAGAGACATGGCTATAGGGTACGGCCAGAGTGCACTCAGATTCAGAGTCAGATTCAGATTCTGAAAACAAGCGCGAGAAATAAACAGTGTAGTCGAAGGGTACGGCCAGATTGCACTCCTGATTCAGATTCAGATTCAGATTCAGACTCAGAAAACAAAGCGCGAGAAAAATCAAGCAACCTGCTTAGACTACACTGTTTATTTCTCGCGCTTGTTTTCGAAATCTGAATCTGAGTCTGAATCTGAGTGCACTCTGGCCGCACCCTTATGCAGTATAAGGAGAGTTCCGTTTCAACAGCTGCTTTTGGATAAATTAATATAACCAGATTTTTTTTTTTACTTTAAATCGTCTGGGTGTACCGAGTCATACTTGATTACTTGCAACTGCACTTATTCTTTCATATTCTCTTAAACAATTCGAAAAACGTGAGAACGTGTAAATTTATCTTTGCCCAGATTGCGATGATACAAATTGTGTAATCCATAATGCTTGCTTCTTTGCGATTAAGCTTAGATTGCTATTTTAATGCTTAATAAACGATTTGATCAATATAATAATATCATAAAAATTAGATACTTTCTTTATTACCTACTTTTTATAAAGTTTTTGAGCCCATTTATTTACAACGGATGTGTAACATCCGTTTTCTATTAGTTATTATGGTAGGTAGTAACATATTATTTCTGTTACTATCGTATATTAATTCATTCGATTAGCATAAAAATTTAGTTATAGTTAGGAAAAATATGTAAAATATTAACTATTTAAACTTTTCCTTTATTATTGGTCCTAATTTGTAACTGCTTTAAATTTACAATCAACACTCAATATAAGCATGAAAAATATTCCTAATAACATATTAACAAAACGAAAAAAATCTTTGTCTTTTAACATACATGGCAATAAACCAAAGGAGATGTTCCGAATGTTTTTGGAGACTGGTATTCAGCTACACACAAGACAAAAGTTATATGACACGAGAGAATATTTTTTCCCGTGAGAAAAATGGGGAAAAAATATATTTTAAAATCCCCGAATTTTAACAAAAAGCAGCATTTTATTCTGGTGCAAAAAACCGTATCAAAGCCATTATTAAAAAAGCAACATGTTTTAATATAATTTTAGTTACGGCACGCTATGAAGGCCGTTTTGACACATTGCAATAGTGACGACTAGTCGTTTTGCTATCTAAAATTCTTATAAATGTGAATCACATATGTAGATATTAATCATTTAGAAATTTTAACAAATATTGCAGAAAGTTGCTGATTATAAAGATTAAATAAAACAAAAACATAAATGTTTAATCATGCCCAGCGATCCTATATGTAGCGATCTTATTCATTAAATGTTTTAACATTTTGAATTTCGAAAAAAACAGATACCGAGTTATTTGGTAAATAAGTACACTCTAATTATACTTTTATTGGTATGATATAACAGTTCTTAATAATAATAACAATAAAACAATTAATTGACTTAATTAATCCTTTAAACATTCTGCCAAATGGCCGGTGTTTTCATGTTTAAAATGATATTATATTAAATTGTTTTAAACTTAAAAAGATTTTTGAAATCATAATAAGTTAGACCATACTATAAGATATTTTTGTATAAAAAAAAATCTGGGCCTTAAAATTACCGATTCGATAAATTGTATGACTATTATGCGCGTCTCTAATGTCAATTAAGAACAATAAATTATTTCACAAAATAAACAAAAACACGGTACATTTAAGATCCTATGAGCATAAGCTTTCGTTTAATATTGTAATTTATCGTGGGGGTTATCAAGTACCAAAACAGAACATCCCCTTTATAATACAACAAAAAGGCAAGTTTCTAATTTATAAAACAAACCTTGGTATCATTATTGTACAGGCAATAGCATACAATTTTAATTAATATTGAAATAAATTCTATATCATCTGCTGTGGTATTATTTTATATATAGTCATTTATATATTAAAAAGTTATAATAAAAAATTATGATTACATATCAGAATTGTATAAATTATAGTTCATTTGCGAGCGCAAGTGTTTCAAACTACAGAGAATGGGATTTCTACAGAAATATGTACATTTGTTTCTTTCTTGCTGTTGCAGATATTTGATCCATGACTCTATAAAATTGTATTGTAATAAATAAATTATAGTTAATATACAAATGCATATACACATCCCACAAAAAACTAAAAGATTAACCATAAATTAAAATATTGCCCAATTAACAAAAAATGGTGAGTAAATCTCTCACAGTGATCACAATATTAATTTTGATATTAAACATACTCCTTTCTACATCTGAAATTTCTTTAGGTATGTTCGATATTAAATATTATATTAAGACACATACACGAAGTACGCTTAACTATTATTGTCTACCTGATCGTAGACAACACAACAAAATTGCCTGACGCAATAACAATTTCAATACACAATAAGTATAGAACACATATCAAAATTTAAAATAAAAATAGAAGAAAATAGAAATATTGGCGTAACGTAACAAATTTTTCTTTATGCATTGTTTGAATATATGTTAAATTGTGTATTTTAATCATAATTTAAGTAAAAAGTGTGTTTGAATAGTGTAACTTGTGTTATTGAACTGGTTTGTTCATTGTGTACGTCTTATATAACATTCCTACTGGTAATTTTTATTTATCATGTAAGTGAATTATGTATTCTACTTCAAAAAATAAATGTCTTAATCCACAGAAATAAAAAGCGTTCTGGCTGATGAGTGTCATTGTATGAATTTAAGTACATCTTAAAAGTTTCTTCCAGGAGTTCCGCTGACGTTAAGTCGAAAAAATGCAGCGAAGCATATTATTCATTCGGCTTTCAATGTGTTGATGATCAAATTAAAGATTTGTACAATATTAAAGGTTTATAGTAGAAAGAGTTAAAATAAATACTTAATTTAGAATTATACCACGTTGGGCGCCAAAATAAATTTGAGCTATAGAAAATCTATGTAGCTTTCAATGACTTGATTTTAGATTTGCACAGTATAAGATTTTTATAGTAAAAAGAGTTTAAATAAAAACTCGAATATTTGTACATACCGCGTTGAGCGCCAAAATAAATTGCAGAAGTAGAAAATTCATTCTGCTTTCAATGATTTGATAGCCAATTTTTAGATTTCTTCAGTATAAGTTTTATATCAGAAAGAGTTAATAGAAAAACTTCAATATTTTTATTACCAAGTTAGGCACTCAAATAAAAATACTATTTATACATACGCCAAAATAAAAAAAAATGCAATTGTCCCTATCTAAACACAGGTAATGACACAAATCATTAACACCGACAAAGATTGCACTAAATGCGTATACCTGCGTAGACTTTACATTATCCCTCTATGTACAATAATTTACACGAGTACAATAAATGTATGACTTCATTTGAGGTCTTCCTCTTCATCTTCCACATATAGAAGATCTTCCATTTTAGTCATAAATTTGGAGTCCAGATTTTCTTCTTCTGGTAAAGCAGAATCCTGGAAAGAGAATAATATCACTAAATCAAATTGAGTTTCAAAAAAAACGAACGGTTGTTACACCTTACTATTCAAAACAATAGTTACATATATACGTATTATAACGGTGCCATTTCGGATCTACAATACTAGTCTAAGATCCGAACCTACATCGACCTTCACCGAGCTGATAATAGAATGAAACATATTTTATCATGAATTTAGTATATTTGAAAATATATTAAAAATGGGTTGCCTAACAAAGGCTTGACAGACTAATTTTAATTAATTAAAAAAAATTAAATGTTGTAACATCAAGATAATAAAAAATGTTGTTCTAAAAACAGTATAAAATGTGCAACGCTTGGTTCGTCTATTATTTACCTGGGCGATCTATTGGGTTGCCAGGTATAAACAGGTATGTCGATGCCAGTAACGTTACTCAACGGCTGCACAATCTATATGTTTTACTTTAAATCAGGACAAAATTTTCTTATTATCTTGATGTAGCAACTTTTTTTTTAAATAATTAAAAATTGTCTGTCCTAGTTTTTTAGCCAACCCTTTTTTTATATATTTTGTAATATACTTAAGTCATAATCAAATATGTTTGATTCTATTATCAGCTCGGTGAAGCTCGATGTAGGTACGGATCTTCTACAATACGTGAATGACAAAACAAACAGCAGACGCAGCAAAGTCCGTTCAATATGTCACTTTGTTAACAGAGTACAGTCACGAACAAAAATATGAAGTTATACAAAGTCGACATTACCATCTGCCTCATTCTACTTCAACGCGAGTTGATTTCTCTTAAATGTGTGTGTGTTTATGTCCAAAGGTAAATCTGTGACTACAGACACTAAACCAAATGATACAGTTGGTCTGTCTCTCAGGTGTGCACGTGTAAAAATAACATTACGGAAACAAGTCAAACCTTAAACTATACCCCATTTAGGGAAACAAAGCTACTGTGCTCTGAAACGAATTCACCACTACATACTTGCTATTTAATAGAAAATTACTATTTTTCAAATGCAAACTACTAACCTACCTAATTACCTACTGTGCTTATATTATTTATTAGTTAGCAATTTATTTTAAGTTTTATTTTCACTCACCCTCACTCACTTTGGTCATATTATATGACTGAGTTCTTTACAATCACTTGTATGATCGATGCTCTTTAATGATATGGAAGAAATAATATTTACATAACATTATGACAGGTAGGGCAAAGTGGATTTGCTGTCAATTGCGACAAGTAACCTCCTTTTAAGACTGAAGTGAAGTAACACTACCCTTTGGTGGTTAAAGTACCAGGGGGGCATTCGCCTAACGGAAATGCTTTGGAAAACGCTAACGCTTTCGATTGTATTTTGTTATTTCTGATCGCCGAAAGTTTTCAAATACCTCACGCTAGTTTTTTTTTAATATTGTTATTACCAATGCAAAAGAAAAAAAAAGAACGCGAGGCATTTGAAAACCTCAGGCGGTTAGAAATAACAAAATGAAATCATAAGCGTTAGCGTTTTCCAAAGCATTTCCGTTAGGCAAATAGCCCCCAGGACTCCTTGGGGTTGGGGGCGGAATGGGCCTTTATTCTCATTTGTTAGATTCATTAGTTCAATAGTCAAACTACTGAGATTTTATTGTTCTCATTTGTTCGACCGTCGTCGAACTTATTTTCTTCATTTATCCATTTTCATTATTCTGGTAATGAAGAACCTCTTAGTTATATATGGTCTCCTTTCAAAATAGTGTTTTTTATAAATGTTAATACGAACAAATGAGAACAATAAAATCTCAGTAGTTCAACGATCGAACTAATGAGTAAAAAAACATCTCACTAGTTCGACGATCGAACTAATGAATCGAACAAATGAGAATAAATAAATAAATGGGCAAGCAAGTGGGTTGAACCGGTACTTCTTTATCGCATCAGCTATCGTTGCGACTGGACTAGACTTCACTTACACTTAACATCAGGGGTGGGTTAATTAGGTACCCCTTTTATGTAATGTACCTATGTAAAAAAAACAAGTGCGAGTCGGAGTCCGAAGGTTCCGTAGAAATTTGTACGCAACATCAACTGTCGTATCTTTTTTATTTTAACTTAAACCGCGTTGTTTCATCGATAGATCTTTTATTATAGGAAATGTGCTAAATACATAGCAAATGTGTCAAATTTTGACTAATTGTTTATTTTTTTCTATAGGATTTCACTATAGTAAAATTTTACTAACGATGGAACAACGCGACCTTAGAAGTGCGATATTTTCACAGCTTAAGGGATCATATATAAGAGTATATGGTTTAAATTTTCACTCGGTACTTCCAAGCGTGCCTGAGCTAAAGGGTCTTGACAGACAGATAGATAGACGAGCAACAAAGTAATCGTATAACGATTCCGTTTTTCAAGGTACAGGACCCTAAAAATGCGTATTTTTGTGTTATTGTATATATCAATAAATTGTTTGCAACACTATATCTTTATTAAAACAAAAAATCCAAGCAAAAAGAAGTCACTTAAAGGTAGCTTCAAAGAGGAAATTAAATAAAAAACTATGAATTAGCCACGGTTGTGCGAATCCAGGGCGTTTGATACTTTATGATATCTTGCCATGTGACAAAAAAAACACATGTTTATTTTAGATTTTTTATGTGACCCCGGCCCCATCCTCACCTCTGGAACTCGGAAATTCCAAAAATTGAATCTGATATCTAATGCCAATTCAAGAAAAGAAAATGTTTGTTTTATTTTTTCTCTACTTCAATGATTATTATTACAAGAAAGGTTTTATAATTTGTCGATGTATTGGCATATTAATTGAAGCATCCTGGCATGATTCTTTACGTTCCAAATTTCAACAATAAATATCTAAGTTTCTTTATGGAGTTAATATTTAAAGTTATCTTGCTATTATATAATACAATTTCATGATAGTGTCATGTGAAAGTCTGAGAGGTAACATACCGAACATCTACAATGAATACAAAAATATTTTACGAAAGATTTATTTGCAAGCGAGTTAACAAGCAAACACAGTTGCAAAGCGTCGTTTTAAAACAGACACGATTATTCACACAGTGCAAAAAATTTATATCAAAATATATCAACAACAATTTTAAACAGCATAAAGCAGACGTTATCAAAATAAATTTTTCTTTGCAATTTTATGGACTAATGCAAAGAGATTCATAACTAATAATCAACTTTTGATCTTACGTATCACCCTCCTTTGTACTGTATACTCGAGTAAAAAAATGTCATGCTGTAAAATGTATTATATTCTGGTAACGGAAATGAGTCAATGGCGTGTTTTATTTATCACACAATCGCTTACAAAAGACAACACATCTGGGAAATGACAAAAAAGTTTAGGTTTCATAGATTCCCCGGCTCATTTCCATAAATAGAATTATAAATTACGCTTTTAATCATTTATTTTATACCTATTACATAAAACAAAAGCAAAACAGCAGTTGTTACATGCGCATGCAGAATTAGGTAATTCTTTTTGTAACATATAAATAAATCTATGTTACAAAAAGTTTTGAACAAATATTTTAAACAGTACAGATATTTTTATTACAGTCACACTCAAAGGCGTAAATTTTTATTTTTAAAATTTATTAAAGTTATCTTTTCTATCTACGGGTAGACTGGCTACTGTTAATTTGGTTGGTACCTACAAAACCTTTTTTATATAGAGTCAAGATGTGAATGAGTGGCCCAAAAATGTTTGACTAACGGTTACAGAACTATACCTCACTTTAACAAGAATTGAAGGACATGGTTCAAATTAGTATGGACGTTAACGATCACAATAATGTGCACTACATGTCATAAAAAATTGGAGTCTACCGGAAACCGACTACCACTTTTGAACCGTCTCCTTTATTTAATGTCTCCGAGTGCGACAACTAACAGTAAGTTTATTTGAGGATTAAGTATTTTTTATTTAAAATAAAAATATAGGGTGAAATTTAATGTCTTAATGAAACTTTGTAGGATTGTTGGGTTACGTGTATGCCTGTTTTTTTTTGGATATTTATTTTTGTGCCATGTTTTATTTCCTATCCTCCTTTTTAGATCTAATTATTATTATTAAACACGCAAACATAGTAAGTAAAAAACAACTAATAAAAAAGCACTACTAAAAAAAATTAGCGAGCCTTACACTAGTCGCGTATGATGTGTAACATTTGAAACCTCACCTTACATTAAAAGAGAAATAAAACCTTCTACAAAGGAATAAGCAATTTGAACATTATGTTCTAAAATCAAACCAAATAGCGCGCGCTTCCCAAACTTCCTGTTATGGAGGCCATACACGTTAGGTTTTGCATGATGGTTGTAACCGTGCATTCATAACCGACATGCATAACCGAGTTACATGCACCGAAAACTGTACAGTTTTATTACATACACGTAAGGGCTTGCCTGTCGGTTATGCATGTTCGGATAAAACCATCATGCAAAACCTAATGTGTATGGCCTCCATTACACACTTCCGTCCACTTCACGTAATCACTCCCACAAATTGCACGAAAGCGAGTGGAAAGATGTTACACATCAAAAAACGGAAAAAACAGAAAACTCAGTCAGATTTCCCTGCATAAGATAAGATTACATCTGTGCTTATTATTTCAATAAATTTATTATTGTAATATGGCATTTAAGTCGATTTCTTGTAATGAGTGGAATCATAGAAGTCACGCCAGCTGTGCTTTGTTGCTACCTACTCACTTAACGGCGGGCGGGCGCGGTCGTTGCCCCCGCGCCAGCTGTTTAGCTGTTTTTGCGTTTTTTAGTAGTGCTTATTTATTAATTATTTTTCACTTACTATGTAAATATGCATGTTTAAAAGAAAAACTACTCAAAATGAGGAAGGGTCATAAAAAATATACAAATAAAAAAAACGAAAACACGGGCATTATCTATCCCCTTACCCAATAATCCCACAAAGTTTTATTGAAACATTCAATTTCACCCTATATATGACATTTTATGTTTA